TGGCGACAGCCCCGGCGGGGGGCCCGGCCGGCCGGACCTCCCCACCCCCGCCCCGCGCCCCCGGCGCGCGTGTGCATGGGTGTGAGCGCACGTGTGTGCGGGCATGGGTGGGTCTGCGTCTGTGTGTACAGCTGCATGTGCGCACGTGTGTACACGTCCAGGCGTGCACCTGGCTGCAGGTCTGGGTGTGTGCATGTGTTTGCATGGGCAGGTGTGCATGTGCACGCACACATAGGCAGTGTGTGCGCGTGGATCTGTGTGAGTACATGTGTGTGCATAGACATGCATGTGTGCGTGTGTGTGTGTGTGTCTGTGGCGGGCACGGTTCTTTGGGTAGATGTGATATCTTTTATTACACCAACTGAGTAGCTGCAGAAAAGTTCTTGGCAAGCTTTGGGGCGCAGTCATCCTTCTTCAGGCATAGCTGCGTGGGTCTAATAAAAGATATCACCGCGTCTACTCGAAGAACCTTGCCTGCCGGCGCGTCTGTGCATGCACGTCACAGTCACAGAGAAGCAGGCTGGCAGGGAGCTGCGGGGTCACATCCAGTCCAGCCCCTTGCCTAAGGCAGGACCAGCCCCGTCCAAACCACCCTGGACCGCATCATCTCAACCCTGACACGACAGAGATCCAACATCTGCCCCTGCCCCCGGGATACAGGGGGGCCGCAGCCGCCGACGTCCTGCTGCTGCCAGGGGGGTCGTGGGTGCTGCAGAGAGCCCAAGCTCAGGCCATAAGGAAGGCACCCCCACCCCCCCAGTCCAGACCAGTCTGAACAGGGGGGAAATCCCTTCCTGCCCCAGTGCAGTGCGGGGTGAGCCTGAGCATGTGGGCAGGACCCTGCGGGGTTGGTGCCAGCAGGAGCATTGGCACAGGCCAGCCCCATCCCCAGCCTGGGCTGCAGCACCCAGCATGTCGGGGGGGGCTTAAACCCCACCGACACATGGAGCAGAAGGGTGTGGGGGCAACCAGCACAGCCCAGAAGCCTTGGACATCCCCATCGCTGCACCTAGATCATCCCCCGCTGGTGCCGGTCCAACGTCTCCCTGACACCTCCAGTGATGGAGAGTCCCCCCTTCCCTGGCGTCTCTCCCACGGCCTCCCTGCTCCAACAGTGAAGACGAGTTTTTTGATCTCCAACCTAAATTTACTTTGCTGCAACTTCCAGCCATGGCTCCACGGCCTCGCCTCTGCAGCAGGAGAGACCAGGTGTTTCCCATCCTCTCTCTGGCTGCCCTTCAGGCATCCGCACACTGCTGTTGTGGCCCCTCCGAAGTGCCTTTTCCCAAACTGAACTTGCCCAGCTCCTCCAGCCTCTCCTCTCTGACTTGTCTGCACTGAACTTCATCTCCTGAGCTCCCTTGCCAGAGCCGTGCGGGAGCCCGGATGCACGATACCCACCGCACGCCCCCGATTAGTCCTCAGTGAAGCCTTGCTGGCTGCCTGGGATCAGCTTCTCCTCCCCCAGATGCTTGGAAATGACCTTCCCGGGGACACCTGCTCCGCTGGCTCCTCCGTTACCACGTACCTGTGCCTGTGTGTACGCGTTGCACACGTATGCATGTTTGTGTGTGTGCATATGTGTCTGTGTGTATAGACACGTGTGTGTCACCTGCTGCTGCCAGGACTGGGAGCCAGGGCAGAAAGAGGGTCCAGGCTGGAAGGGGGGTGGGTGGAATGGGGTTGGTGGGAGACCAGAACCGTGGCCCCCCCATGCTGGGCTCCAGCAGCCACTGCAGAGCCCCCAGACTCCCCCAGACTGAGCCGGGCTTTGCCCCCAACGCCCCAGCTGTGCAGCCTCCCTGCCTTCCCTGTGGGCCGGGGGCAGCAGTCTGTGATGCCAGGCTGCGTGTGGGTGCCCAAAGCCTGGGAGAGACCCCTTCCTTCTGCCATGGGGTGCAGGCACAGGCTGGGGGGAGGCGCCGTGAGGACCCACCGGGCACTGGACTCTGGCTTCCAGCCTCCCTGGTGTCCATGACCCCCAAATGCTGTGAGACACCCCCCTCCCTCCCCAAAATCCTCTGCTGCAGGTGCATAGCAGAGCCCAGCTCAGCCTGCCACAGCTGGACAGTGTGGGGACGGGGACTGGGGCTCTGCAGGGCAGGTTTCCTCCAAGCCCGTTGTTAGGCTCCAGAGTCAACACCCCATCGGGCACAGCTGCAGCCCCGGTGCCTCCTTCCCAGCTCAGAGGGGTGCAGCCCTGTGCCCCCCATACCTCTGAGCCCTGCCCAGCTCGGTGCCCGCAGGCGGTGGGTGGGTTTTTCCCCCAGCACGCCTCTCCCCTCCTCAGCCCTTTCCCTGCAGGCTCCATGGAGATCAGCTCCCAGATAGGGAACAGGGATGGAAAAGGCCTATTAGGACTGGCCCTTCCCTGCCCCAGGCCAGGGCAGAGCCCCCTGCCCCGCACCCTGGGCATACCCCTCCCCGCCCCATCCTGCCCAGGTCCCAGCCCGGTGCAGCTCCAGCCCCTTTGTTGTGCTAAGGTGGGGAGGATTATGCTAAGCGCCCTCGATGGCCTTGCTAACGGGGCTGCTAATGCGGCCA